GATAAGAAGTTTGGGGGGCAGGAGGGGATTCTGGACTAGGGTAGAGGATTGGTGTGTAAAGGGGGGATGCAGGCTCCAGGAGGGAGTTTGGGCATGGGAGGGAACTCTGGGTTGGGGTTAAAGTACAGGAGGAGGGCTTCAGCTGATTGTCCACATGCCTTGGGACTGCAAGCATCTGGTGGCTGCTTCCAGGAGACACACGGTCTGAGGACAGAGAACCTGCCTTAATCCCAGGAAGCTGGCACCATGATGCACTAGAGAAGGGTGGGGAGGAGTTGATCCGTAGGGCCCACAAAATCCTTGGAGTTTCCTCAGACCCCAATTTGAGAAATGCTGGAGACTAGAGCAACCTAGCTCATACTCAATGTTTGTTTCAAGATGCTTGTACCAACCCAGCTATGATTTAATTTGTTTTACACAAGCCGGTATGACAAGATGTTCTATATGAAAAGACTGAAAAAATTCCAGCTCCATTTGCAAGAACAAAAGTGATGAGCTCATTTCTTGATTAGATAGTGAGAGGACAACTCTCATTTTGACTGAATATTACAAATCTTTGGAAGAAGTATGGATCATCATCAGATTGGTCCACAGCAGCTCTCCAACCAACAAGACTAAGTTGGATGACCCAGCAATGTCCTGTCTCCTTCAACATATCACTCGCTGAAAGCATTTGGAAGGTAGAAGACTGAGATCTCCTAAGTATCTCATGTCAACAGGAAAGCTATCTTACATAGACACATTTAACTGTCTTATTTTCTAGGAATTTGAGTTGCTCATTAGCATATCAGGATATGACTACAGGCATGTCCATCCTTTCCTCCTGCAGCTTCAACTTCGGCTGTGAATAGTAACTGAATTGAAAACTGACAGGTTAGCGAAGACCTGGTAATTAACACAGATTTTCTTTTGGTGACAACTCAAGTCACTCAGTTGATTACTTGCTAAAACTGGGTAGTTTGTAAGAACATGTATGTGCTTTAAAGGTTGGCACAATTGGTCCATGTCCTTGTTTTGAAACAGATTCCAATCAAAATTGTTATAAAATAGCTTTGAAATTGAAAAAGTCATGGTTAAGTGGTATTATGAAAGGCTTTGTGTCTGTTATAGTTAGATTTGAAGAGGGTAGCTTTGTATTGGTAAATATCAATAAATACTGATTTAATCTTATTTGCATAAACTGTCCATTGTCAATGGAAATATTGTCATTTTCAGAAAGGTAAAATAAGAACTTATTAAAATTTGATTTAAACTATTTACTTACAAAGCTTTAACACTTTGATTCATGTCATTAAATAAGTATAACCCACCCATAATTTTCTGCAATTGCAGAAAATCAAGAATAGGAAAAAAAAGTTTAATCCAATTTCCCACAGTGAAAATTGAAATGGATAAAAATAAAAAATGTTTAATAAACATTACCCAAGCCTAACTATAGTTAATGATTTCGTGTGTGTGTGTGTGTGTGTGTGTGTAGCTAAAGTTTATTATGAAAGTAGGAGTCTGTTACTTAGGAGTGATATTCAGATCCTCAGATTAATATAACTAGGGGGCTGCGCTCCCTGCTTGCTAAGCCGCCCTTCTGGCCACTACGCATGACAACCCTTTGTCTGGCTGCTATGCTTGCAAACCAGATCCCCCAGCTGCTACACATGCTACCCCCATCCCATCTGGCTGCTATGCTCTCCTCCTCCCCACAGCAGCTATGCCCTACCACCAGTGCACCTTCTTCCTTGATCCCACACCCTACCATCAGTCTCCTCCTGGCTTTACACCCTACACCTGGCCCACTCTGGCACTTTCCTCACTGGCCAGACACCCTACTTCCCACTCAGATCCTGCACCCCCATCCCCCTCATTAGCAGAGATGGGGGGGGGGAAGGTGCAAGAGGGAGGAGGATGCATGGCTCTTGCCTACCTGAAGCATGGGGGTGGAGAGGGAGAAGGCTAAGTGACTCCCACCTCCCTGGAGCACCCATGTTCAGCTGTGGCAGCAGCTCCCCCAGGGAATATGGGGTGAATAGAAGGGAGGGGTCAGGCTTGTATGGCAGAGGGAACCCAGCCCCCAGCAGCAACTCCTCCCCAGCGATGCAGCCCCCTGGGGCACAAAGCTGGAGCAGGAGCAGCCCATGCCCTGAATGGACAGCACTGAGATGGCCACAGCAAGTGGCTGAGGGCAGAGGTGGGCAGGGATGGCAGCATGAGGATGTATAAACGATATGTCACTTTGTTGTCCAGCAGGAAATGTGTTTTTTATATACATAAACACACACACAAAGAGAGATGTATATGAAAGTAGGTTAAGAGTTTATTACTCTCTATCTTATTCCCCTTTATTCGGCTCTGGCAAGGCCACATCTGGAGTATTGTGTCCAGTTCTGGGCCCCCCACTACAAAAAGGATGAGAACGCATTGGAGAGGGTCCAGTGAAGGGCAACCAAAATGATTAGGGGGCTGAAGCATATGACTTATGAGAGGCTGAGGGAGTTAGGTCTGTTTAGTCTGCAGAAGCGAAGAGTGAGAGGGGATTTGATAGCAGCCTTCAACTTCCTGAAGGGAGGTTCCAAAGAGGATGGAGAGAGGCTGGTCTCAGTAGTGACAGATGGCCGAACAAGGAGCAATGGTCTCAAGTTGTGGTGGGAGAGGGCCAGGTTGGATATTAGGAAAAACTATTTCACTAGGAGGGTGGTGAAGCACTGGAATAGGTTACCTAGGGAAGTAGTGGAGTCTTCATCCCTAGAGGTGTTTAAGTCTCGGCTTGACAAAGCCCTGGCTAGGTTGATTTAGTTGGGATTGGTCCTGCCTAGAGCAGGGGGCTGGACTTGATGACCTTCTGACATCTCTTCCAGTTCTATGATTCTAAGGAGATAGGGAGATGGGAAGTGGTGTGCAAGTAATTGACCAAACTGCCTTGTTTTAACACTACCCAGTTGATAAACAATTGGCATGAATGTGGTTCTATTCTGAGTGCCTGAATCAAAAACTACAGAAAACCACCTTCAAGACACTGAATAAGTATCAATGGATGGTTATTATATCGATCCATTTTCTAGCCTGTGGTGTTTGCAAAATCATAATCCATTACTATTTTAACCATATATCCTGCACAAGGGGTCGGCAAACTTCTTGGCCAAAAGCCACATCATGGTATGGAAATTGTATCGGCCAGGGTGCCAGCACTGGGGTGGGGCTGCAGATGTGAGGTTCTGGGTGCAGGAGAGGGTTCTGGGCTGTGACTGAGGGGCTCAGGGGGCAGGAGGGGGATCAGGGATGAGGTAGGGAGTTAAGGTACAGTGTGCATGTGAAAGCTCCAGCTGGGAGGGGCAGGCTTTAGGACGGGGTTGGGGCCAAGGGGTTTGGAGGGTGGGACAGTGATCAGGACTGAAGCAGAGGTATGAGGCATGGAGGAGGGCAGGCTGCACTTCAGCAGTTTCCAGAAGCATTTCCCCACTCCAGCTCCTGCTGGCAAGTAGCTCTGTACTCTGTCCCATCCGCAGGCTCCCAGCCAAGGGGAGCTGTGGAGGTAGCATGTGGCATGGGAGCAGCACATGGAAACCACTAGGTGCCCCCTCACAGCTAAACAGGGTGGGGGGGGGACATGCTGTTCCTTCTGGGAGCCACAGCACATGTGCAGTAGAGCAAATCCCTGATCTCAGTGAGAGCTCAAAGACTGGATTGGCCCATCAAATTCAATAATCTAATCTGGGCAGATAAAATTGCCTGAGAGAAGCTCCACAAGTCACAGCTTGGAGCAGCCAGCACAGGAGAAGGGTCAAAACCGTAAGTAGTCACCTGAGATGAAAGGGTATCTTCTTGTCTCTCTCTAAAAATAGAAAAAAGTCACTACAGTATTAAAGTTTTTAAATTACCACTAATAACAGGTTGGGTAAGATTTTTAGAAGCGGGTGCATAAATTGCAGTTAAAGACAGGGTTAAGTGTTCAAAACTGAATGTCTAAAAGCTCTCTAGTTTAGTGGGAGCTTTTTTGTGTGCTTTTCAAAAAGGGGGTTTTGTGCAAAAAGGAAATGTCTGCACTGCTTGTTTTTGTGCAAAAACGGCTTGGCATAGATTATGCAAACGAAGCAACAAAAAAAGCTAATCAGTGCTTCATTTGCATAGCCTCTTCCCGCAAAAGTGTTAGTGTAGACAAAGGCTATGGTGCACACAATGTATTCCCTTGCTAGTGCTCACTAATGTACAGTGTATACAAGCCTGGAAGGAGAGTCTCAAAAAGAGACTAAAGCTCAACTAGGGACCTGGTCACCTAGTGCAATGTTTCTTAACCAGTGGTACGAGTACCTTCTCAAGTACCTCTAAGAAGTCTGGGGCGGGATGTCAAAACAACTGAATTTTTGCTAAGTTTTACAGTGCTTTATTTTCTTTTGTACTTTTTACACCCAAAAATGTAATCACCCTCCTGGCTATGATTAAGTTCTTTAAACAAATGTGTTGCTATGGTAGAAATTTTTTTTTGCATGTCTGAAAACTGAAGGTACTGGGGGTACTTATCCCCCTTTTTTTTAAGTTATTTTATAAAAAAAGGTTGAGAAACACTGGCTTAGTTAAGTTATTTTATAAAAAAAAGGTTGAGAAACACTGGCTTAGTGGAATCTCACCACAACAAGCTGTGTTTTGTATAGAGTCCAACCTGGTGCCCTCTGAGCACTACCACCACATCAGTAAGTTAGCCAGGTTTGTGAATTCTGCCAGGTCTTAGGTGGTGAGTGTTAAAGCTTGTTCATAATTGCCTACCAGCAAAAATAGTGGTGCCTATGAAATTTAGACATCTGCAGGGATTGGCAGAAGCTAAGCAAAGATTCTAGGATCTAAATACTGGACTTGGCACTTGAAGTGGCCGTTAAACATCTAAATCTCTTCATGGATCAAGCCTTACATGCCCATATGTGGATTTAAGATCCTGACTATAGGTACCCACTTTGAAAAATGAATGCTCATTTGTCTGTATGCAATATTGAAAATACACAATCTGTAAAAATCTGAACACTTAAAATTATTTTATTTGGTAAAGATAAAAGAAACCTTTTGGAAACTAGTTCTTGCTTGGACTTAGATGTATATATGATTTGAAAAATGTTATAGTCAAAAGAAACACTGACAAACAGGCAAGGGAATACATGGTTTATAGTTCTTGTTCATTCATTCAGATTATTTCTAATTTAATCAGTGGAAATTGGTTTTTGTAAAAACTTTCCATACAAAACTGTAGTTTACATGCCAGAATTTCCTCTGAGCACTGGTACCAAGTATATATTCTTCATTTAAAATGTAACAGCACCACTAAAAATGAGTAACATTCTTCTTTACAAATTTGCATAATATCGATTCCGATTCTGAAAGTCTCTGTAAGCATATTTTGCATCTGATTTACTATGTGGAACTCGTCCAAATGGTTCATGATCGTTGAAACAGGAGTCAAAAACTTCATCCACAGCTTTTTCTGCTGTTTCCTTGCTAACTTTTCTAACAGCCAAAATGGAGCGAATGGCTCTGTCTCGTACACAGGTCTGAGAGAAATAAGGGGGAAAAATTGAAGTTAAGATAGGAAGATTCAAGGTTACAAAGCATTTTATGCAGATCTAGCCAAATATGAATTCCTATTGCACATGCATCAAGATTAAGGTTACTGTAAAGTCAGTATCACAGAAAACTGACACCATTCCAAACAGAGACATCTTGAAAATAAATCTGAACCATTTAATTTTCATTATACACCTAAACCTTCCTGTAAAAAGAAGAAATGCTACTTTTCTTTGAGGAGCAATAATTAAAAAGCAGTGCAAAACTCTGGTCTTAAATAAAGAGACTATACAATTTAGATCAGTGGTCCCCAACCTTTAGAGGCTCCCAGGCACCTGGGAGGTGGGGTCACTCAGGTGCCGGGCGCCCGGGGGCGGGGCCACGTGTCCGGAGGCACGCCAGGGAACTAGGATGCCCTTGCATCTGGCGCGTGCCCTAGGGCCGGGGCTCGGGCCTCCCGAGTGCCTTGTGCCGTGGGCCGGCGCTGCTGCCCGAGCCACGCGCCTGGGGCCTGCTCTGGTGC